ATCTTTGTCCCCGCACCTGCGACAGGACACTTCCATGAAGATCTTGCTTGAAGCAAGGGCCCGCGCAGATGTCAAAGGCATCCAGCAGCCGCCTATACTTATGGCATGTGCTCACAACGACACGAAGGCAATTCAGATGCTGTGTCACTTCGGTGGCGATCCCTTCTTGAAGCAGTGCTTCGGTTGGACACCCATAAACACCTGTGCAGCCTTCTCAAAGATGGACTCCCTCGANNTGATCCGCCAGCGTCGACCTCTCGAGCTCGTTGATCTACAAAGCCGCCATCATGGGAAGCTCCGTTGCCTGCCTTGGCCGACTCATCGATGCAAGAGCTGACTTGAATGAACAGTCTCTTGGTGTTGTCTTCAGGGATGTCGGAGATCGTCAGAGGTCCTGTGTAATCACTCCTTTGTGCGATCTTGTTTTGAGCCCGAAGTATTCCCCCAAGGTATGAGCCTTCTGCCGCAGATCCGTTGGGCTTAGTGATGAAGCTCAAGGGTCTGCAGTATCAGATCAGCAAGGTTCCCACCATCCTCTCCACCGTAGGATACCACCATTATGGCTCCACGCCCCTGATGGTTGGAATAATGTGTGGCAACTTTGAGACTGCAGTTGCACTCATTATGAAGAAAGCGCGGCTCGACTTGAAGAATGTCCGCAACAAGACAGCGCTAGACCTCGCACACGAGCTGCAAGCCCCCGACTATCTGGTCAACGCTCTCCGGGAGCCCGCAAGTTTAGAAACGAGACTGCCAGTCGGCCAGCCAATGCAGCCCAATGATTCACAGGAATCCTTGCAAGAGCATTATCTTTGTAGTTGCCTGCTGGATGCTGGAAGTGGTGATTCGGCTGGCGAGCTTCCTCTTTTTCCTTCTTTTTCAGCGGACATATCTCGTGTTCTCTTCCCATCTGGTGTTGCAAGCCTTCTTTTTGATTCCCGAGTCCTGCAGCCTGAGAATATCCCGGTGGACTCGGGGGACAGGGTTTCTCTGAGCATCGCGACTGGGTGATAGTCGATTGACCTCACAGGCTGCGTGAGATCCCCGCTAGCTCCAGCATCGAAACGCGCAAAAACCCGCTGAGTGCAGACTCTGTCGACTTCCACCAGAAGGCCCACAAGAGTTCTTAGTCTTAGTGGACCAACGAAGCAGCTCAACAATTTCTGGCTGAGAAGAAAGCGCAGGGTCCTTCAAAGCGAATCCTCGAAGAGCTGTTGTCCAGGCATTCACCGCACGGCCTCCCAACACAGGCCCGCGATGGGTCGTTGCGCAGTCGAAATCTGTAAACTGTACCAAACC